TCGCAGGTCAGGGGGCTGTCCCCATCCCTGTCCCCCCGTGTCCCCCGTGTGACACTGACCCAGGGCGGTGACCAGGTGTCGCAGGTCGGGCGGGCCGCCTCCCCCCAGGCACTGCAGCGCCTCCAGCACCTCCAGCGCGTTGCCCACGGCGCGGCCCAGCGGCTGCTCCATGCGGCTCAGCAGGGCCGCGGTGCGGATGCCCAGGCGGGTGCCCACCTCCACCTGCGGGGACACGCGTGGGTGGCGGGGACAGGGACGGGGACGGGGACGGGGACGGGGACGGGGACGGGGACGGGGACGGGGACAGGGACGGGGACAGCGGGCGGGGATGGGGACAGGAACGGGGATAAACAGGGACGGGGACAGGGACCAGCAGGCAGGGACGGGGACAGGGGTAGGGGACAAGCAGGAACAGGGGCGGCGGGCAGGGACAGGAGCAGGGACAGGCAGGGCAGTGGGAAGGAGAACAGACAGGGACAAGGGACAGCGGGCAGGGACAGGAGCAGGGACACGGACAACGGACAGGGACAAGGACAGGAGCAGAGACAGGGACAGGAGTAGAGACAGCGGGAATGGCCCGGGACAGCAGGGACAGGGACAGGAGCAGGGACAGGGACAGGAGCAGGGACAGGAGCAGGGACAGTGGGAATGGCCCGGGACAGCAGGGACAGGGACAGGAGCAGGGACGGACAGGAGCAGGGACAGGGACAGGAGCAGGGACAGGGACAGGAGCAGGGACAGCGGGAATGGCCCGGGACAGCAGGGACAGGGACAGGAGCAGCGACAGCCATTGATAGGGACAGGGACAGGGACAGGAGCAGGGACAGTGGGAATGGCCCGGGACAGCAGGCAGGGACAGGGACAGCAGGGACAGGGACAGGAGCAGGGACAGCGGGAATGGCCCGGGACAGCAGGCAGGGACAGGGACAACAGGGACAGCAGGGACAGGGGACAGGGGCAGGGGTCGCGGCGGTCCCCGAGGTCCCACCAGGCTCCACGCCAGCTCCCGCGCGCTCTCCTGCGTGGGGTACAGCGCCGCCTCCCCGAACTTCACATCGAGCACCAGCGCCGAGAGCCGCTCCGCCGCCTTCTTGCTGAGGATGGAGGCTGGGCCGGGCGGGGGGTCACCGCCGGCGCCCCTCCCGTGCCCCCGCGTGTCCCCGCGCCCCGTGTCCCCACGCACCGGTGATGAGGGGCAGGCTGTCCACGGTGGCCGTGACGTCGCGCAGCCCGTAGAGCACCCGGTCCGCGGGCGCCAGCTCCGCGCTCTGCCCCACGATGCAGCAGCCCACCCGCGCCAGGATGCGCTGCATCTGCACCCAGGGACACCCAGTGGCACCCAGGGACACCCAGTGACACCCAGGGACACCCCAGTGACACCCCAGTGACACCCCAGTGGCACCCCAGTAACACCCAGAGACACTCAGTGACACCCAGAGACACCCAGAGATACCCCAGTGACACCCAGTGACACCCCAGTGACACCCCAGTGACACCCCAGTGGCACCCAGAGACACCCCAGAGACACCCCAGAGACACCCAGTGACCCCTAGAGACACCCAGTGACCTCCAGTGACACCCAGAGACAACCAGTGACACCCCAGTGACACCCAGTGACACCCAGTGATCTCCAGTGACACCCCAGTAGCACCCAGTGACACCCCAGTGACACCCCAGTGGCACCCAGTGACAACCAGTGACACCCCAGTGGCACCCAGTGACACCCCAGTGACACCCCAGAGACACCCCAGAGACACCCAGTGACACCCAGTGACACCCCAGAGACACCCAGTGACCTCCAGTGACACCCCAGTGACACCCAGTGACACCCCGTGACACCCAGACACCCCAGTGACACCCAGTGACCCCCAAAGACACCCTGTGACCTCCACTGACACCCAGAGACACCCCAGTGACAGCCCAGTGACCCCCCAGAGACACCCTAGAGGCACCCCAGTGGCACCCACACAACCCAAGGGCACCCCACCCATCTTCACCTGCCCCCTTTTGGGACCCCATGAGAACCCACAACCCATTGGCGCCTGTCCCCCATCAGTGGCACCCACGCCCTCTTCGGAGCCCTTGGGCACCCCATTGTCACCCCCCACCCCAGTGAGACCCCATGGCCACCCCGGTGTCACCCCCCACCCCAGTGAGACCCCATGGCCACCCCGGTCACCCCCCACCCCGGTGAGACCCCATGGCCACCCCGGTGTCACCCCCACCCCAGTGAGACCCCATGGCCACCCCGGTGTCACCCCCACCCCAGTGAGACCCCATGGCCACCCTGGTGTCACCCCCACCCCTCCGGAGCCGCGGTGCCACCCGGCCCGGCTCCTGCGGGGCGCGGGGGTGTCCTCGGTGTCCCCTCACCCGCCACCCCCCATCGTCACCTCCTCGGGGCTCTGCGAGACGCGAAACCCGGGAATGGCCTCCAGCTTGTCCAGGGTGCCCCCGGTGTGGCCCAGCCCGCGCCCGCTGATCATGGGCACCTGCGGGTGGGCACGGGTGGGCGCAGGGGCTCGGGTACCCCCGGTCCCTGCCCCACCGCCGGCTCCCCTCCCTCACCTTGCAGCCGCAGGCGGCCAGCGCGGGGGCCAGGGCCAGGCTGACCTTGTCCCCAACGCCACCGGTCGAGTGCTTGTCCACCAGCAGCCCGTGCCAGGCGGGCGGCCAGGCCAGCGTCCGGCCGGAGCCGGCCATGGCCCGGCTCAGCGCCAGCGTCTCCGCCGCGTCCATGCCCCGCAGCCGGATGGCCATCAGCATGGCACCTGGGGTGGCAGCACCCGGGCTGTCACCTCCCCGCTGCCCTCCCCTGTCCCCGGCCTGAGCCGTGCCCCGCAGACAGATGCCACCTGCGTGGGCACCCGGGGACACGCGCGGCCACCTCCGTGCCCTCCCCGGGACCCCCACCCAGCCGCATCCCCTGCCGTGACCCTCTGCCACGCCCGGGGTCCCCCTGCCACCCTCCCTCGGGGTCCCCAGCTGTGTCCCCCGCTCATGACACGTCCTGCAGTCCCTCTCTTGTCCTCCCAGGGTGGTCCCCCAGCCGTGTCCCCTCCCCAGGACCCCGCGGCACATCTCGGGGTTGCCCTTGCTGTCCCTCCCGCTGCTGCCACCCCCCTGCCCGTGTCACTCCCTGGCCGTGTCCCCGCGGCTCTCCCCACCGCGTCCCCGGCCGTGTCGCCCCTCCCGGCCCCGCGGTGTCCCCGCGTCCCTCCCGCCCGCACCGATCTGCCCCTGCTGCGCGGTGCCCTCGGTGACGCCGCGCACGAAGCTCCGGATCTCGGCGTCCTCCAGGCGCTCCCCGTCCCGCTTCTTGCGGATCAGGGCCGGGAGAGGGCTCGGGGCGTCCATCCCTGTCCCGGGACAGCTGGCACCGCGATTTGGCCCTGCCACCACCCCGAAGTGGCAGCGATGGCACCCACGGCCGCCCCCCGGTTTCTCGGAACCGCCGCCCCGGCGCTGCCGGGACCTGCCCGTGCCCGTCCGAGTCCCGTGCCCGGCCTGGCCCCGTTCCCGGTGCCCGCTGCCCGCAGGCGGTTCCGGCCCGTGGACTCTGAGCCCGGGGCACGGGAGAGGCCGTGGCACGGAGGTGGCACGGGGGGTGACACGAGGGGCGGCCCCCGCGTCTCTCATTCGCCGTGGGTGCTCGCAGGTGATGCCCTGCCAGGGATCCCCCCCATCCCACAGATCCCGCAGGGTCCTGGAGGCGCGACACGCGTGTCCCCTCCCTGCCCCGTGTCCCCTCCCTGCCCCGTGTCCCTCCCTGTCCCCTCCCTGCCCCGTCTCCCTCCCTGTCCCCTCCGTGTCCCCGTGTCCCTCCCTGTCCCGTGTCCCCTCCCTGTCCCCTCCCTGTCCCCTCCCTGTCCCCGTGTCCCCTTCGTGCCCCGTGTCCCCTCCGTGTCCCCTCCCTGTCCCCGTGTCCCCTCCCTGTCCCGTGTCCCCTCCCTGTCTCGTGTCCCTCCCTGCCCCGTGTCCCCTCCGTGTCCCGTGTCCCTCCCTGCCCCGTGTCCCCTCCGTGTCCCCTGTCCCTCCGTGTCCTGTGTCCCCTCCGTGTCCCCTCCCTGTCCCGTGTCCCTCCCTGCCCCGTGTCCCCTCCGTGTCCCCGTGTCCCTCCCTGCCCCGTGTCCCCTCCCTGTCCCGTGTCCCTCCCTGTCCCGTGTCCCCAGAGCCCCCCACGCCCCCAGGTCCCGGCTGGGCTGCGCTGGGGTGGGACTGGGGCAGGGAGAGGGTCGCTGGCACATCCCTCACCGTGGCACGACCCACCCCACCACGGGGTCCCCCCTCCGTAGCCTCGCCAGGGGCTCCCTCAGGGTGGGCTTTAGGGGACCCCCGGCCCCCGTGCGACGCGGCGGGACACAAGGAGAGCGAGCGGTGCTGCTGCGGTTCGTGTTTGTCACACGCGGCCGGCGTCCCCCCGTCCCCGCCGCCTACGGGCGCGGGTCCATCACGGGGACCACGCACTCCGAGTAGCGCACACCGAAGCTCTGGCCTTTTCTCCGGTCCTGCGGGAGCACAGCGGCGGCGTGAAGGTGCGGGGCGGTGGCTCCCCGCCGCCCCAGCCCTGTCCCTGCCGCCGTGCCCCTCACCTGCTTGGGGTAGTAGTCGCTGGGGCCGGGCGTTCCGGAGGCCGGGCTGGGGCGGCTCCGCCCCGCCAAGGTGCAGCGGGGCGCCCGCGCCATGTACACGTTGGTGTCCACGGCGCCGTAGTTGTTGGGTCCGGGGGTCTGCGGGGACAGGGGCGGCTGATGGCACCCCCTGGATGCCTGTACCCCGCACCCTCGGGACCCACAGCCCCTCCACCCTGCACTCTTGGCACCCCAGGCTCCTTGATACCCCACGGACCCCTCAAACCCCACACCCTTGGTACCCCAACCCCATAGACCCCTGGCACCCTACACCCTTGGTACTGTGACCCCACGGACCCCACACCCTTGGTACTGTGACCCCACGGACCCCTGGCACCCCACACCCTTGGTATTCTGACCCCACNCCACGGACCCCTGGCACCCCACACCCTTGGTATTCTGACCCCACGGACCCCTGGCACCCCACACCCTTGGTATTCTGACCCCACGGACCCCTGGCACCCCACACCCTTGGCACCCCAACCCCATAGACCCCTGGCACCCCACACCCTTGGTACTGTGACCCCACGGACCCCACACCC